CTCCCTATCCTCCGCGACTCGGCGGGGCTGCACCGCTGATGCAGTGGTGGTGTGGCCGCGGGGGGAGAGGAGTGTCGGTATTGGGATGCGCCGTTCTCCCCTCCGCGTCTGAAACCTGGTGAGTGGCGGAAAACGTAGAAGTATTACACTTCTACGTTTTGTCTGGTAAGTGAAGCCTACTTTATCAAAAGGTCAAATCTGCCAACCTTAAGGATGATTGCAAATGAAACCGATACGACTTTACTAAACGATATTACTACTAACTATTTTACAAATAAATAACACGTTTATTTTTCCAGATGTTTTAAGAGCACAAAGTGACAAGGAACACCTGGCCGCTAAACTACAAAATTCAGTCAGACAAGTTCTTCATGCCAAGAAGCTTCGAGCAATATGTCATAGTAATCAAGTGAACCTAGCCAGAGTGGAGCTAGTACCTACTGATCCGCCGTATGTCTGGGGAGTCACATAATATTTGCCACATCTTAAAGCATGCCTCTATTAAAACGTTCTCCAAGCCGGTGAAAACATTTAGTCAGTTTTTACCAATCTTTGCCATATCAAATAGTCTGTGATCAAGGAGTGTGTGTGCACTTGACTGTGATGTGAGCTATCTTACATAGGAAATACAAAAGAGCAGTAAAAACCAGCGTGTAGGAACACTTAGTTGACATAAAAAATTTAAGTCGAAACAAGTTTGCAGTCTATAAGCACAATGGATCACCCCAACCACTATATCAGTTTTCATAGACAGACCACAGATCCTTGCAAAAGAAAACGACTTTTCCCAAGAATGATTCGCGGGGCTATTGAAAATAAAACAACACCCCAATTCAATAGAGAAAAGGGTTGGATCCTACTATCAGCCAAAATCTAGGCCCAAACGAACCTCTAATGAAACACAGGACTCAATTATTTATTTATTTATTTTAACACCTCACATCTAGCGTTACAGGTAAAAATTATTTATTTATTTATTTATTTATTTATTTATTTATTTATTTAAACTTTTACACAAAAAAAATAGTATTGTGTATAGGCGGACTTAATGCCTAAGGCATTCTCTACCAGTCAACCTATGGGCGACGCAGAGACAAAAGAGGCAGGTGTAAAAAGTTTCAAACCAAATTTTAATTTAAAACAAAAGTTATATATATATTCATATATACTTAAATTTAAGACATATACATGAAAATATATAAAGTATATAAACATATTAAACCCAATATAACAAAAATATATTACATTATTTAAGCATACAAAATAGAATACATATACTATAATATTCACAAATACTTAATTAATTATCCCGCTTAACTTTATCTAATAAATATATTTCTTTTAAACTAAACACACCTAATATCGTGAATTCACTCAGTGCACAAATCAGCACCTTTTACGTAGATTTGACACAAATTGAATAGGCTTGGTCTGTCCCATGATCATGAATGCAGCATAGCGTTCGTTAAAAACATTGGAAATAAAAATTAAAAATAAACGCGGTAAAGGGGTAAAAACAGTTTGATTTACATTTACATATACATTACCTAAGTTCTTAATAAAAATATAAGCAGAGCTTCTGAAAGCGGGTGGAGAACCGGTACTTGTAGTTCTTCAAAGGCTCTTTAATTCCGTCCTTCAGGGTGATACCGTCCTACACCAGAGGCGTGGAGCAGAAGTGTGGTGGTGCTGTTCTTCAAGAAAGGCGATAACGCTCTCTTGAAGAACTATAGACCGATATCCCTTCTGAGCCGCGTGTATGTGCTGTTCTCAAGAGTCATCTTGAATCGTCTCGCTTCCAGACTCGACGACTTCCAGCCTCCCGAATAAGCCAGATTCCGAAAAGGCTTCAGTACCATAGACCACATACACACCTTGCGGCAGATTATACAGAAGACCGAAGAGTATAATCTGCCTTTATGCCTAGCGTATGTGAACTATGAGAAAGCCTTCGATTCTCTCGAAATGTGGGCGGTACTCCAGGCTCTTCAGCGGTGCCAAATTGACTGTCGGTATATCGAAGTGCTGAGGTGCTTGTATAGCAAGGCTACGATGTCCGTCCAAGTACAGTCCAGTAGTACAAAACCTATCCAACTGCAGAAGGGTGTAAGACAGGGTGATGTCATATCCCCGAATCTCTTCACCGCTGCGTTGGAAGATGTTTTCAAGCTTCTGGACTGGAAAGGACGAGGTATTAACATCAATGGCGAATACATCACCCACCTTCGATTTGCCGACGATATAGTCATCATGACAGAATCGCTGGAGGACTTGGGTGCTATGCTCAATGACCTCAACAGTGTCTCCCGACGGGTGGGCCTTAAGATGAACATGGACAAGACGAAGATCATGTCTAATGTCCATGTCACGCCTATACCGGTTGTTGTTGGGAGCACTGAGCTCGAAGTTGTTGACGTAACGTACTCGACGTTTACCTAGGACAGTTAGTCCGGCTAGGTAAGTCCTACTTCGACGCAGAGGTCAATCGGCGAATCCAACTCGCATGGGCAGCGTTCGGGAAACTTCGGCAAATCTTCTCGTCGAATATACCTCAATGTTTGAAGACTAAAGTCTTCAATCAATGTGTGTTGCCAGTGATGACCTACGGAACCGAGACATGGTCCTTCACTGCTGGCCGTATGTGGAAGCTCAAAGTCGCTCAGCGAGCTATGGAGCGGGCTATGCTCGGTATTTCTCTGCGTGATAGAGTTCGTAACGAAAACATCCGCAGTAGAACCAAGATAACCGATATAGCTCAGAGGATTAGCAAGCTGAAGTGGCGATGGGCCGGCCATATAGCTCGTAGAACCGATAACCGTTGGGGAAGAAAGGTTCTCGAGTGGCAGCCTCGTACTGGCCATCGCAGTGTAGGATGACCCCCCACTAGATGGAGTGACGACCTGTGGCCACCGACCATCCATCGACTTCCCGCACATTTGCGGGAAGTCGATGGATGCAGGTGGCTCAGGATCGTACTTCATGGCAGTCTGTGGGGGAGGCCTATGTTCAGCAGTGGACTCAAACAGGCTGAAATGATGATGATGATGATGAAGTTCTTAATGCCCGTAAAACAGCACCATGTTGATATCAATCTTCCAGAGATAATCATTTCATTCAGCACTGGACTGCAATCCAGAAAATTTATACATTTAGACATTTATTACAGAATATTTATACGTTTAGTAAATGTGGTTCGTAAACTTCACGATACGTCGATGATATGGTAATGTCTTTCATGATTTAATCTCCACAATGGAAAGCTAATAATAACATACTCTATATTATACTAGTTCATAACGTGTTAAGGAAAGGAGTACAACTATCTAACAGCGTTTGTAATGCCGCCTAATTATAATGTGAATTTATTTTGGGAAAAGAGTAAGCAGACTTATAAACGTTATATCACCTGCTTGCCATCAAAGTCAAAACCATATCAATCAATCAAAAATCTTTATTCAAATAGACGCTTGCGTGTTCTAATCGTCAAATTTTAAATAAAAAATTATACAAATTATTTCGTAAGTTACCCCCGGTTCGGAAAGCAGTTTCTGTTGAGACGAGACCGGCAAGAAACTTAACAGTTGCTCTTTTTCAAAAATATCAGTTTACTATATAACATACCGGTATAACAGTTTTATTCTAGCCTACGTGAGTATAAACAGTATTAACTCCACACCTTGGCATATTCCGTAATGGTGTAATATACTTTAACCATAAGTTGACTTTTGATTCTACGTTTAAATTGATCAAGAGGCAGACTTAATACCGATTTTTTTATACATGCGCACACCTTGCCCCATGGACGACCTATTTACTTTTTGTAGGCGAAAGAATAATTTCCGTGTCTCCGCAAATATTTATTTTACTAACATCTTCAGCACAGAAAGTAATATAAATAAAAGTTGCCCCGTAAACTTACCACAGATCGTCAACGTTTAATTTGTCAATGTTGCAGTCAATTGTGAACTTTGCTTATTGCTCTCAAAGCGGACGTCATTCGGATGAATAATGAAACTACCAATTCAGTCTAATTTCTTTTATTTGTAAAAAAACAATAGTCATTAAATAATACAATGAGCACATGCGCTTATTGCCCGGGAAAAGAAACAAACGGTCTTCCGGAGCAAGAAGGAGCATTTGGACAAATCTCAACTTAGAGCGCAACAAAATGTGCCAGCCGATGCCAAGCCTAGAGAACTGGTGCCAACATATCGAATGTAGTAGAAAACCATATAAAAACAGCATCGGTGTATCAAACAACATAGAAATCAGAATAAAATACACGTGTCAATCAGGTTTGCGCTTTCCGACATATACAGAGCTACCCTCCGTAGTTACTTAGTGCAATAAATAAAGACTATGTGCGATCACATTTATTCTAATCCATCTAGATCTATATTCATAAGTGTCGTAATTGATAATTGATTATATCAAATTCCTTTTTGTACCAAATTTTGTTGCATTCGTTCACGAATGGGCGTCGGTTCGTAGCGGCTATGCGGCCAAGCCTTGTTCTTATTGAATCCTAAAGGAACTACAGACTTCGCGGTTTGGCTCGGTGGCGCCGGTGGCAAAGCGCGCTGGTGCCTCGCTAGCGGTGAACGCTGCGTGGCGTCCGCCTCGTCTCGTGTTGACTAGCTTGGATGCTTACATATCAATCGTTTTACTCACGTTTTTCTCACTAAAATAAATAACTAATCTAACAAGAAAAGCCCTCGATCGCTTCACGATACTTTCTAACTGGCTCCTAAATAACTATAAATAGTTTGTCCGGCTAGTACATCCGATCTATCTATCGGTCGCTTATGATAACGTATCCAGCTGCGGAATCTGGCATCATAGCAAGATGTACAATTGACAGTACGATTAAATCTGAAATGGTAATTTATATTTTATATATCTAATAGTCTCTACTTTAACTTATAGTTTCAAGAACGAAACTTATTCACTATAAAATGCTGATAAGCTGAGGTTTCTTCGACAGCTCTGCGGAGCTTTCACTGCACTAAACTGGGGACTGGGGTAATTTTTTCAGCTGAACTTGCCCCATCCTCAGTGGTAGCAACATCTAGCTGCGTTCCTACTGTTGTTGGAGCAGGATTTTGATATTTCGCTGTTGCAATGTCTGAAACATCCGACTCACCATCAGTGGTGCCCTCGTCAGAAACGGCTTCGTCGGTAACGGCTTTCTCATTGCTCTTTCCCATTACTACTTTAGTCGGTCGTCTATTTATTGTAGGTACATAAGATTTTGTTATTATTTCGATATCTTTCTTTTCCGTTTTATTTTCAGTTCTGTCGTCAGATACATTATCAATAATCGGACGCCTGGTCGTTGGCTCTACTTTGTCGTTCGGAGGAGGTGAATCGGTTATTGAATCGGTATCGTCATCTTCAATCTCAACATTCTTATGTCTGCTGGAGGCCTTAGTCTTAAACGGAACTTCCGTAATAGAGTTGAGGTTCCAATTCTTATTTTTGCTTTTGTATCCGGCGTTAACTGGAATCAATTCTTCGGAGTCCGAAATAGTTGTAGGACTAGCAGTATGATGTTCTATATCGGATCCATCGGTGTGATCACCAATTGAAGCGACGTCACCAACTAGATTAATCAAATCTTTTAAGACATTATTGTTCTTTCCACTTGACTGATCGATAATAGCCGAGTTCTTTCCGATATCCGCAGATTTTTTTATTAATTCTACACCACTAGTTGTAATTTCCTGCGAACTTAAAGGTGAAAGAACGAATTCTGTTGTTTCTATATTTTCAAAAGATTGGTTCTCATCAACCGTCTTAGATACTGATAATTCAGAATTAGTTGGCCATAGTTTTGTGGTACCCTCGTCTACAGACAAAAGTTCAACGGTTGATTCTGAAGATTTGTCTTTAGTAATGTTTTCTGACGAGTCATGGGGATTTTGATCACTAGTTTCAATTGGCAAGGAGCTTAATTCAGTTTGCGAGGTTACCTCAGTTCCCATGTTAGATTTTGATATGGAACTGGTCGTTTGTTCTTCAGAAACTTGCGCGTTAATTAATTGATCGGAAGACTCCGTAATATTGTTACCAATATCAAACTCCGTTGAGTCGGGAATATCGGTGCTCAACGAAATATCATCAACGAAACGTGATTTTGATATTATACCGCTTTCATCGCTGCTGAAGCTTGGTGTAATCGTTGAGGAAGTGAAAATGGGTGCTTCAGTAGCATCGCTTAATTCAACCGAAGTGATTTCTGGCAAATGGGAAGGTACATTGATTATCTCAGTGGGCATTACTGACCGCAAATTGACCATTGAATTTTCTCGTGAATTTGAAGTTACTGTAATAATGACGTCGTCTGCTTTAATCGTGCTTGCTTCCGAAGAAACCTCGTGCAAGTTGTCCAATGATTGTGAAGTAGCTTCAGATACATAATATGATGTTGTCGTTCCTGCTTCTTTCGTAACTGCAACTTCGGTTGGCGCGTTTGTACTTGCAATGATAACAACTTCATGACCTGAAGGTATATGTTCACCTTCCATGTTTTGTTCAGTGAGAATTTCTTCTTCGTGATTGCCTAAAACTGACAAATCATCAGGTAGAGGAGGGAAAGCTGGATTATGATCAAATAAGGAAGTATCTTCTTCCTCAATCATAGGAGCTTTACTTGAAGGGACTGAAACTATACTTGGTATCGCAGAAGGCGATCCAACTGTAGCTACAGCGATAGGTATGCTAGACGTATAGATATTACTATTTATAGAGTCCTGCGTTGAGAGACTTATCTTGGATGGATCATTTGCCGTCTTCAATAGGGAATCTTTTTCACTAGCAATCTTAGATGCTTCTGTTGACAACGAAGAATCAGCTGAAGGTGATTGGTCGTGGTTTATTTGTGATGATTCAAATTTTGAATCAGATGTATTGATCTGCGACTTCTCGGAAGTGACCTCACGCGGGATTAGCGGTGACTTGGATGACGAATATTCAGCGACTTCGATACTTGGCGAAGGTAGAATCTCCTTAATTTTCACTTCAGTGATGACTGGAATCTCAGAGACTGGAGTTATTTCTTTGATAGTGATTTCTTGTTTTACCGAAGATGGTATAACACTAGAATTGATGTGTTCGAATGTGGAAATATTCGGGACCGCTGGAGCAATTCCAGGAATTGAGGTGACACCTGAAAATATTATAAAATTATCAGAAATTTCAGTAGAAAAATCTAATCCAAAAGAATCTTAATCGTTTAACACTTAACGTATGATATAAATCTAATTACTTATTGTTAAAGTGATTATATTTTTAAACTTTTCAAAATTTCCGTTTTCATTGAATCAATTTGACGACCCGAATGGCGTAGTGGCTAGTGTACCTGCCTCCTGCGCCAGAGGGTGTGGGTGTTTATATGTATAATATGTATTTATTTACAAAAGAAAAATATATTTAAGTATGTTTATCAGTTTTCTAGTACCCATAGTACAAGCGTTGCTTAGTTTGGGACTAGAAAATGTTGTGTAAAAATGTGTCCTAAAATATTTATTTATTATTTATATTTATTTTAATTAGTTAATATTAAAGGGCTGTTAAACTTATGGAGGTTGGGTAAGACTGAGCCAAAAGCCAAAAATAACATCTGCTTCAGGCCATAACCATTTCATCGCTACAATCAAGATATTTGAGAATGGTAATAACATTTTGAAGTTGGGATAAATTGATGATGTCATTTGCCAGATCGTAAGCAACAATATATCAAATTTTGAAATGATCTTGCATATAACTATGGTTAAGTTGCATATATACTCGATGGTTCAGTTGCATATACAAGTGAGATAGATAACAAATGCGAGCGCTATGCGAAAATCTACTAAGCTTACAATTCACAAGTCGTGAAAGATGGCCAGCGCGAAAATCACATAAATTTTTTCACAAAAGTAATCGTGTCATCCATACTGTGGAAGGGCTGTACTGTTGTGCATATGAGCAAACTCATCCGAGAAAGTACTAGTCTTATAGAAGACCGGCGTGACATGAAAGTATTAACACTTTTGCGCTTCTTCTGGCGAATGAGTGAGAGAATTAGTGAGTGGGCACACATTCTCGAAGGTGGCAAAGCATCAGAAACACAATAGAATTTGTAGATCCACTGGAGGTAGTCCGTGTGCGACAAATTTAACTTTTTTTGTGTGATTAGGTGCTTCCCACAGCCAAGAAGAGGGTTCGGATCCGCTTTGAATGAAAATGTTCGCCTAACGATCACCACCGCTTTCCTTATCCAATCAGCTTATAACTATTAGCTATTGGGCAATGGTGTTTACCGCGCAGCGGGCAGTTGTCATACTCCGGACAACAGCGGCCCGGCACGTGGCGGGGCGTGCAGTCGTCACGCACGAAGCACGCGATGCGCCGGCACACCACCTCGCCACCCTGACAGTAGCACACGCGGCAGGGGTCCGCCGGGTCCACGAGCTTCTCACCGTTGCCGTACACGCGCCCTTCTTGCTCGCACTCTGTGAAGAGCAGGACACTGTCGTTACAAAAAGGCGGAAGACGAAGAGAAAACGTTATTTCAAAAGCAAACATGTTAGTGGCCGAGAAGTACAAGACATATTTCCACTCTACTTCAAAGGTTGGCTTAAGTAGTTTTTTGGATAACACACGTAATATAATTGTCCTGTTGTGGTATCTAATGGCCAAAATTAAAAGTAGCACACTGGATTACAAATATGAGTCAATGTTGTTTGCATGAAGAAAATGCGAAAAACTTAAAGCTTTTTGGTGTGTGCCCTTGAAACTTGAAATTAATTCTGCAAACTGCAAGATAATGTAGGTTTAGATTTTTAAAGTGCATTTAAGATCCAAAGTTAGGCCATCATCCACTGGCCTAGTGCTGCGACATATTTCCAAATAAAAATAAAAAAGTTCAGACTACATTTGTCTCACTGCCAAGGCCTCCTCTGTATATAGTCCACCACGTGACCCCACTGCAAATCGGCCGGTCTTCTTCACACATCCTCGAATTTTTTTTTGCTATTTCAAATGTATGCATATTCCTCGCGATGTTCTCCCTCTTCGCTGAGCACGTGATAAGTTAGCACTTAAGATTGCAATTAACAATTTCATCGGTGCCAGCTCCGGGATTTGAACTCAGGTTGCTCGAACATATTGAATTAAAAGAGTGCGCCCTGACACTTAGTTATCACATCTACATATTTTTTTAATTGTAAGCAAAACAATCAATTCCAAAGCCAGAAATCTGTGTGTCCCTATGTATGGTTAGATCATTAAAACTATGCAACGGATCTTGATGCGGGTTTTTTTACTACATAGAGTGATTCAAGAGGAAGGTTTATATGTATAATACATTGCACCCGTGCGAAGCCGGGGCGGATCGCTAGTATAGAATATAAAACAGCTCACCGCACTGGTAAGTCGGGCAGCAGTGGTCCGGACGGTGTAGTGCCTTGCAGCCAGGGCGCGGCTCGCAGCGCTGCTTGGCGCACTGTACACCGCCACCCGTGCAGGTGCACCTTTCGCAGGCACTCTCCCCCGGGAACTCGTCTCCAGGCATATAGACCACATCGCCCAAGGAGCAACCGCCTGGAAAGTCAGTTTTAATGCTTAATCTTGGTTGCTTTTGTAAAGATACTGGTCTTAATTTCGCACACTAATTATATCGAATTACTCACATACAAAAAAAAAATTCTCATTTGTATTTTAGCTCTGCAATTACGAAAATTGTAAGACGACCGCGCTACAGAATTCATTGATAATATAGAGTATCCATATCAATTTAATTATTTCTGTATTATTAACAAATTGAATTATTGACTTAAATTCAATGTTAAAGAAGAAGTGTAAAGATTTTTAGAAAATGTGCAATGTCATTAACTTTTGCTATTACCTTCTTTCAGACCGAGGTCCAAGCTTGTTACGTTGGGCAGCGGGCCGAGAGGTCCTGAAACAAGAGCAAAATCAATCAATATGGCGTAAGGAGAGGTAAAAAAATATACTGCCTACAATTGGCATGAAATAATTTATTTCCTAAATAAGATTTTTCTTGGCGTTAACATTACATGGTTAAGTTGATTGTTCAGCTGTTAGGGAATCAATACAATTACTACATAGAATTAGAATTCTGTATTAATTGAAGTCCGAATAATGTACGTCTATTCGAAGAGGACGGGGATGGCTCGTAATAAATTAAGGTCAGAAGTGGAAAATTTATCTATTCCATTTTGTAAATCCGATGAATTACAAAGAGCAGAGCAACCTACTGATATTTGGTTGAAATAAAAAATATTATATAAAATTGATGAACGTTTTTTATATTTAATATAGTTCTTACTTAAATGTTTATTTGGTAAGCCAACAATTAAATAAAATTATAAAAAAAATGTACAGGTAAATAAATAAATAAAATTGCATTGTGTTTATGCTTGTCAAATACAAGGATAAAGCACAAATTATAATCTATGTTAACGAACATATTAAGTTATAATATTAATCACATATAACAATTAACTAATAAAAACATTTCAAGTACGACTTATCAATAAAAAACGTAAGAAAAAAAAGAGAATGATAGGAAAATGTGACTTAAACCTGATGTTAAAAATCTAAAGTTAATGTTAATACAAAAATAATAAATGATAATGTTAGTCAAGTGGGAGTTATATAGATTTTCGTATTATGAAATGTTGAAATTCATTTGAGATCTACTAAGGCTTTTTTTCTTTTTTTTTCTTCGTCAACATTCTTTTGAAGTAATAACATCCTTTCATATCTTTAGAGATAATTAGTTACGGGCCGCAAAAAGGAACCTTACGCCGACAAATCGCTCCTCCTAAGCGGAATTGCGTCTTTGTCCGTAATATTTAGGGTCTGGAGGGAGATTCATCCCAATCACTCGGCTAATTTGACAAGCCTTTCAGCATGCGAAACGTGCATGGACAAAAGAATCACGGCAAAGTATTCCGCACTTCTAATGGACCCCTCCTTGGACTCTCCATGACTCACGAAAGATGTACATTAAAAAATTAGGATACAACAACGGCGACTTTTCAGTAAATGTTTTTGTAGCATAAATACTTATACTCAATAAAAAACAAAAAGGAAAACTAAAAACTAAGGTAAAAAATATAGTCTGAAGTGTGTTTCAATTATACCTTTGGGAATGGAGACTATACCTTTAAGGCACATAGAATCCAACTGGATTCAAACACATAAACAGATTTCATCTTTGTTTACTTCGAAAGTAATATGAAATTAGAAATTTGTTGTGTAACAAACGACCTTATTTGTAATTTTCTTTCTTTTTAATATTTAATACTTGTACGCAATTTTTTTTGCATATTCATTAACAATATGGTGTCTTTGTTCTTTACATTTATGCAGATTTTTATTAGCATTTGTCAACTTTGCTATGTAATAAATTGCCTGTAGGAGATTCTTTCTGAATAAACAAATTGTTTCCGTTCCGAAATTACTTCAATTAAGAAGATTACATGGCATTTTGTATAATGCGTTTCGATAATGAATATGCAATGTAAATATATACTACTGGCAGTATGTATTTACATTGAAGTCAACATGCAACTTTATTTTAATTCATAATTGTAATAGGTACATGTAACTTTATTTTAATACATAATAAAACACGTATTAATAATTTTATATTCAAAGTATCCGTTTAAATAGAAGAAATCATTATATAAATTAACATACATTTTTTGGTTTTCAATACACGTTAAGGAATTAAACCCGACTAAGTTTTAGTAACATAACTACAGCGCTATTAGACTAGCTTTATTTATTTTATAGTTGTATTTGCCCGATGAGATTACCTATGTGAACATATTTTACCCCTTTGAGATTTTGAAAAACCCTTGTATCGCCCAGTAACTATCAGTTTTTTATATAGGATACTTGTTTAAAATATGCAAATATATGTGTACTTGTAAATTTCCTCGTATCTGGAGTCTTTTATGAGCTTAAAACAAGAGTTCAGTTGAATTATAGCAGAAATGATATTTAGAGTTTCATATTTCTGGTCAGGTTTGTATTAAATATTAATTAAAACGGTTAAATGATGTATTAGTCAATAACGTCGAGTATGCGGTTACATCGGCGCATTCCTAAGGCCCAACCGCAAACATCGAATATGTTGTATAACATTTGCAACACGTGCCTTAAATTCACAAGTTCACTTTCTCCGTAGCTATACATTAGACTTTTCTTAGAATTATAAAAGGGTTTTCTGTGATTATTTATCGTTTTTAGTCTTATGTACATTTTTATATTAATCGCCCGCGGAACTACCGAAGAACGGCCTCACAGAAGACAGGCGTGAAATTGAATACTTCTGCGTTTCGTCTGCTGAGTGAGGTAAAAAAAAAGACTTTTTAATATCACAAATATTTATTCATCAAACTATTGAAAGTTTCCAAATTTTATTTTATAGCTAAAAAAGAAATTAATTTTAACGGAAAATATATTATTGACTTGTACTAAGTAAGATCGACTTTATATGCACCAATACTAGGTTCGGTACGGGTAATCTTCGCGTTACAAACATGTAGGTCTCCACTGTGCTACCTTAATCTTGCGTCCGACGCCACAGTCACTAAGCTCCCACTGCCTTCCATAATCGCCCAGACAGCGATCAACAAACAACGTTGAAATAGAGAGCGAATAGAAAGAACCCCTTCGTATCCCAGGCACTGGATGATCTACCCCGACCCCGCTTGTTTCGGGATGAAACTGGAATAAATTCGGAGGGTAGTTTCGGACCCGCCCACCACTCGTACCCGCCGCCACCCTTGCCCAGCCTTTGATTTACACCGCGCTCTCTCTTCAAGTACCACGTCGCGGGAAGTAAGGGATTGCGGAGGACCGCTATCATTTTTCTTGTAGTACTTCGCGCAAAGTGCTTTCAATACCAAACCCTACTCATTCCCCCATTATAAATAGATACCACGCCTGTATTTACCTTGTAAGTTCTCAATAGCTGCCGCGCAAGTTATTTATTGAAACTGAAAAATATGTTTATCTACGTAAATCAAATGTTTTATTGCCAGCAGATATGAAATTAGTAACCCCACTCGCAATTAAGAGAGCATTAGATACGTTAATAATGACATTTATCTGCTTATCATGAGTGTTAAAATAAATAAAATTGGAATTTCGAATTGTTTAGCCTATTTATGTTGTTTGTTTAACACAATAACCCACAAATTTATTACGTAAATGCACCTAACAGCGTTACAGTTATGAACCGTTTAATTCGCGATTCGCGAGCGTGACGCACTTGCGTGAGGAAACGCGAAACGCACAAAAGCGGAGATCGTGTCGGCGTGCGTTCAGCGTGTCGGTGACGCAAGTTGCCGTAAGCGATAGTACGGATAATTGTGCTAATTAACTACTCAGCCGTCAACTGATTTCGATTACCATGCAATGTTGATACGCACGTGGAAGCGGCGAAGGAGGAGTTAAGGATCGTGGAAACTGGTAATCACATCTACACCTCTCGGGAGGCTGACTTGAGGGTTTATGCTGGTTTAAATTGATTACCAATTGGAAAAATCATTATCATTTGCTTGAGGTGCTTCGTCGACTATCATTGCTATTAAGCTTCTCCAATAAATAAGCTCCCATTTCTTTTAACCCTGTAGTGACTACGTGAGCAATGTTATCATGAAGACTCCATGGACCTTGAACGAATTTTACCTCAATAACAATGTCGAATTACAACAAAAAATGTTTTATTTGGACTAACTTAAATTCTTCGCGTCAAAACAAATACACAATTACTTAAATATCTCGATATACACTTGACCAAAATGTGCGACAGAGGGTATGGAAGACTTGTACCAATTCGTTTTTACCAAACGGCTTAACGTCAGAAGCGTCCATTGTACTCTATGCAACATCTTTAATTTACGAAGCCTGCGAAAATATTTAGCTTTACACAACCCTAAGGCAGAAGGAGAGAAAGAGGCATTACAGCTGACAACAAACTTAACACATCCCATTTCGGGCTGAACACTTGATACCGAAGGATGGTTACGAAGGCACGTCGGAAGGTTAAGGATCGCTAACCGTGACCAGGGGTCAGTGCCGCCCCGGGCAGGGCCTGGGCGCCCGCCCGCCGAGGCCGGGGTCGGCACAGGCTTAGCTTCGGCTCCGGTTACACGTCGCGGCCCACTGGCCACGGGCAGCCTACTGACGACGTAATTACGCCTGTAATTGACTTGTAAACTGTCGGTAATTACCCTTACAGATACCGATAGCGAGTGAAAATAATGGAGATGGTTAATTGCTTAGGTTGTTATGTCGTCCATTTCCATACTACTACTGGGTGTCTCTCAAGGACCGATCTTGTATACGTTATTGTTAATGGTTTATGATAATCAGCATTTAATGATATGATTCAAAATCGGAATTTACAAGTCACTAATTAAAAAAAAAAAACTTAAAACACCGACAGTTTGATTTTTTATTCCTTTAATTATCCATTGATACTAAGCAGTAAAGGAAAATCTAACGATATCATTTATCAAAATCGGTTCACTCGTTTAGCACTTAGGAAAGAAAATGGGGACAGAAAAACATGCATGCAAACATAAATACAGGTAAAACACATAACTCTCCTCTGTCGGCTTCATCACAGTCGGGTAAAATGAATTACACTTGTCACGTCATTTCTATACAATTCAGTGATGAGCATTACATAGTTAAAAAATTTAAATTACACCAAACGATTAAAAATGGAAATTAATTTGAATCAATTAGAAATAACACACGCTTGCGCTCCTCATTTAAACTACACGGTGGTTCGTTACAACGATTTGTGGAATGATAACAATGATTCACGTTACTTGCACCGCTTACTCCCAGCTGATGACACCGATCCATTGACTTACACGTGACCAAAGCGAGGCGAGCAGTGGCCCGCTG